ATTAAAAAGCATTTGAACTATTAAACTTCGAACTATTTTGTGTGTAATTTGAATTCAAAATTTCTATTTTCTTTGTTATTGCTTCTATAAGGAAAATAAATTTGTGTTTTCTACTTTTTTGTATTTGATTTTTTCCAATTATAGTTTTATTAAATTTTCACAAAATTCAATTTTGAATTTTTAGTTTAATTATAAATGTACGTTGTACATATACTCTAATATAATAGTTATTTCCTTCATATATCAATACGAAAGATAATCACAATTATTATAAAATATATCAAAAAGAAAATATCGAATATACGAGTATGTAGTTGGTTATTCAAGTCTTTACAGGACTTGTACTCTTAAAAACTAGGTTTGAATGATATTTTTATGAAAGTTGTTTTGTGTAATGATTTTTCTTTTGAATCACAGTTTTAAGCCAATAAAAATGAAAAGCAAACAAAAAAAAGAACAATTTTTCGTAAATTCATAATCTTTTAAATAAATATATGCTTAATTTTCTTTTGAAAATTGTTCTATATTAATTTAAATTACACACAATTTATACTAACAAAGAATGAACACAAAGACTCGTATAGTGCGAATAAACAAAGCAGGGAAAAATTCTTAGCTCTCTTCATTATTCTTTAAATCATCCAATAATTTTTGTTTCTTCAGAACAACACAGTACAACAGTGAGAAAAAGAGACGGAGTAAGTAAGAGAGAAAAAATCGGAATAAACACTGTCGGGTTTTTTATGTTTTTTTTTGCAGTTACATTAATATTTCTGTTAACATCATAATCAACGTTTTACACAATATACTAGATGTATACGTACATATGTATGTAGATATACATATATTTAACATTATAAATATTATAAATTATGAGTATAACAAACATACGAATGAATTTTTTTAATATTTTTATTTCCAAAAAGTCTTTAAGGACTTTCACTTCTCGCATTTTTCGTCGTTCTTGTAACGCTTTTTTAGTGTTTTTGTAACGCTTTTTTTGTGTTTTTTTAAAAACTGTCAAAATGAAATGAGGACTTTTATATTTAAATAAAATAAATGTGGTTCAGGCCAATGGTAAACTAGCATTTTTCCCTTGCAAATAATTTTTTTAAAAAACAATCACTACAGCTATTTAAATTACTTTCGTGAATAAATGAAAATATTATATCAATTAAATTTTTATTTCTTATCCAAATGTAATATTATTGCATTTCGGATAAGAAAAGAAAATCGAAAAAAGCATTAACATATTATAATAGTCGGATTTAAAGGCTAAGCAAATGAGTTAAGATAAGTAATTGTATCTTTTGATAGCGTAGCATATGCCGGTTAGCATTGTACTTTTATACAGCAATTTAGCAATTTAGGAAAGCTTGCAATTTACAAGTTGCAAATTTTATAAATTTCGAGAAGCCATGGTAGGTGAGGGAGATAGAAAATAATTTGTTTCTAATAAAATAGATATCAAAAGTTTGGACGACCATTTTGGTATTTCCATGTTGACTATGCTGCTATGCTTTTCTGCGTTTACAAAATTTAAAAATTCTTTATCGTTTCGCTACAATAATTAGTCAAAAAATTTAATTTTATCAGTTTGTGGGACTTTAACTTTTAAAAGGGAGAAATTGGCAAAAATTTACTTCTATAGGAATATGTTTCTAGTAAAGATATATTTGTTTATACAATTTCATCTTAAAACGACTAAAAATTTCGCAGGCAGACACACGGACGAACGGATATAATATTTAAAACAAATAGTCAATCTTTTTCCAATATTTTTTTTGTGAAAAAGTGCTAAAAAAAAGATTGTATGAGAAAAAAAGTCTTAATTTAGAACAAAAAAAAAAATAGAAGAAAACAAGAAAAAAAATAAATTTTTTTTCGTCTTTTACGTTTTTCTTACCCGCAATTTTTGCTTTTTCTGATCCTTGATGCATATTAATTTAATGAAGACGGCTACGATGATGATGACTACAACGCGTTCACTGTGCTATCTATGCAAAGTTCTCTTTATATTATAAATTTTCTTATCGTTCTTATTGTTTTCGTTTTTTCTCATTTTTTTAATGTAAGGATAAAAATGTTTCCATCGTATTTTATTTTAAAGTACACTGCATAATAATTGTTTAAATAACGATGAATTAATTGAAAACATAATTATAGTAACTTGAAAACTTGAGCAGTTTTTTAATAGCTAGAAATTGAAAATAATTCAAGCGAGAATCAAAGTTATTTAACAACATCATCACTCTATTTCTTTAAATTTTTTTTTATTTATTTATATAAGTTTTATTTTCAAAACTTAATATGTATTTTTTTATAATTTTCGAAAAAAAGTGCTCATTAGTTTCACACTCTCCGCTCGTCCGTCTGTCCGTCCGCGGACATATTTAAAAAACTTCTACACCATTAATTTTATATGTACATAAATCTTTAGTAGAAACTTATTTCTGTAAAAGAAAATTTTTAACCTATCTTCTACTCTGTAATAGTTATAGCTCCTCAAAACCGTAAAAATGCCGCTTTTCAATCATTTGTTGCATCGAAATCAGCATTTTGCCAATCTTGCAAACGCAGAAAAGTTTTTATACCGCACCATACCATACTTAAATTTTAACAAAGCAAAATGGTCATTAAAATTTTCCGTTATCTAAAATCCGTTTTTTTCAAATTTTTGATATCGTTTTTCTTCTAGACCGCAAGTTGTAGGAGTCTAAAAATTTAGCAGGCTTTACTAATAAATAGTTTATTTCGTTACAGGTAAATTTTTTTGCACCACCACTCCCTCTCAAATTATCGCCTGTCGAAATTTGTAAAATTTGAATTTTTAGCACCTTATACGGTAAATTCTATGCTATCTTAAATATATAATTATTTTTCTTAACTCACACAATAAACCCTAACATTCAAGCATGATGTTAACCTCTCTTTCGATTTCTTTTTTTTTTGTTTTATTCCAAAGATACATGCTCACCCTAAATATATGCAATCTTTGAAATATATTCGTATATGAACAAAAGTTATTTTAATTATGTAGTACCTACCTAGTTATATTGTTAATAAAAGCACTACTTTCACTTGTTGAAGGGAAAAGTGCTACAATACAAACCATTGGTTTGACCCAACTTTATTAATATGAAAAACATGTTAAATACATGGAACATTCATAATTTATGCATAGCATTTTATGGTGAAAATTATTCAATATACTTTTCTTATGCAATATTATATGTGTACGCTATAAAAGTATGTTTCTATATATAGGTAAAGGTACAAATATTTTTTTTAAATTCACTTATAATGTCCTCATTTCATTGATAAGAAACTTAATTTTACGCTTATGTAATATGTAATTAAAGTCATTCCATGTGCGAATTTAAAAGTGGAAGATCGGTTGGTATTTGAAAAGGAAACATAATATTTTCTTATAAAAGCGTAAAGAAAGAAAAATATTTTGCTGTAATTAAAATTCTTTAAAAACAAAAACGAAATGATAACCTTGATGCTGGTTTTAATATAACGTTCGCTTGATACACAATTTAATGTAGTGAAATAATTTACAATAAAATTGTTTTTATATAATTTGGATTTTTTTTAAGTTCATAAATAAATGAAGAATACTTCAAAAAAATTTCATAAAAAAAACTCATAACATGAGGATCAGTTCGAGTATGCATGCATAACATGTTCCAAATTCTACACAAAATGTACAGATTCTTTACTTTTTTTTAACTAGAAAAATTCTATAATTTTTTTTCACGATTTTTCCCTTCTGGTGTTTTTTGTTTCCATTTTTAATAAAAGGCAAAAAATCATTTTTGAAAACATTTTTGTATATTTTCAAAATAAGCATCAGAGAAAACAATTTGCAACATATGCAAAAATTTTAGTTACTGGCATACATGCAAACATAATATACACAAACATACCGCATACCGAATTTCACATTCTGTATATGCATTCCTTCCCGTTCTAGAAGTTTATTTATTAGATAATATTCAACAGTGTAACTTTATGATTGTGAACCTATTTGGAAGTCCTTTTATATTTGAATTTATGGAAGGATATTTTAGCACTTTAGTGTATTAAAAAACGTTTTATAATTTAGAATATTAAAGAGCAATTTATGAAACGTAAAAAAAAATAATATGCTTCTGTATTTTGAATGCGTATGCTTTTCAACATGTTAGTGGTATATTTTAAAACGTTGCTAGAAAATGAAAGATATTTAAAAAATTGTTTTAATTTTAAAGTGAAAAAGTTTGATTATCTAGTAGTATTAACTCCTTTTTTTATTTAAAATTTTGTATTTATTTAGTTTTTACTATTTTATAATAATACGTAACAAACGTCTTTGAAGTACATGCAAGAAAATGTCTTTTAAATTTAATTCATAATTGTGTTTAAGCTCTCAGTAAATATCTTCTAAAATTTTCAATTTTAAAAATCCACAAAAATATGTAACTATTTAAAAAAATCTAGAAATTTAGAGATTGTATAGATTTTAGCCCTAGACTGTATATATTTTTATTTGGTATCATAAGTCCCAGAAGTAAGTTCTATTGACAAGAGGCTGTTTAGATATTGTGTAATGCAATTGTTTTTCTTTTTAACACTTTATCTACCGTTATTATAAAATTACTTACATTTATCTAAATTTTGAAATTAAAATTTTAATAGCTAGTTATTATATATATTTTTAAAATTTCGTAAATTTTTTTAAAAAAATTTAACATAAACAACACACGCTAACACTATGTGCAAAATTTATAGAGTCTAACACAAAAAATTAGCTGAATATTACTTTTAATAATGTTTTGAAAATTCTTTTTTATAAACACATATACATAATATTATATTCCAAATATGTATGTATTATTAAAAATAAAACTTCTATAGTTCAACAATTGTTTAAGATTAGTTTGAAATTTTGTAATGATTTCCAAAAATTTTAAACCACACATTTTTTTATATCCTTCTGAATTTTCTGTTTTCAGTTCCTTTGGCCATTTCAGAAATTTAGAAATTCCAGAGGTCACCACATGCTAATTGAAAAGGGATTTGATTATGGATTTGAATTAGAACAATTAGAAAAAGATGAGCCGGTCAAACCAGTGCTGCCTACATTAATTGCGAAATCAGCCACAAAATCAACAACCGCATCAAATACACATACATCAAGCGCATCAATGGCTTCAACATCTGCTAAAAATCTTTTAATAGCTGCCAATAAAAATGAAACAGGGATAATACTTGGGCATGGAACCAAAGATGATATTCAATTTGAGTGGATGGCAACTGAATGGACCGAATGTTCGATATATTGTGGAGCTGGCGGATTAAGAGTAAATATAGATTGTTATTTTTTTAGCTCTGTCGTTTTTTTTAACTTATAAATTTCAGCTGAATTAATTATTTTAATGAATTCAATTTTGAAATATATACGAGTATTGATCTTTTTATTGTGAAAATATATAACTGGTTTATGTAAAATCAGAAAAAAAGAATTCAAATTTCAAAATTCCGTCAACAAGACAAAACTATATATGAGAACTTGTACTTAATATTGCTGTGTATAGAATTTCCTTGCGTATGAACTTTAAAAACACGGTCTTTTCTGTTACAAAATATTGCTTACTATGCACATATATAAAAAAAGAAAATAAAAGATAAGAGTACACAAAAAGTACATCTGACAAAAATTGTTTAAATTTGGTTTAGATTGCGTATCAATTAGTACAATTGCAGTCCTCAACAGCAAAGTGTATTGTTCTAATAAATTTTGTTTTCATTTATTCTTGAATTTTTCATTGTTTTATGCATTATTTTGACTTTTTCTAACTTTCTTTCATAGAGACGACAAGTTTATTGTATGGTTAAACTGGAAAATAAAACACAAAGAGTTGATAATGCTCTTTGTGAAGATGCTGGAATTGAAATTCCAGACACGTTTGAATCATGCGGAAACTACGAATGCCCACAATGGGAATCAGGTTTATGGACAAAATGTCAGAAATCAAGATGTTTAAGAAAATATACAGCAATACAAAGACGTGAAATTATATGTAAATTTTCAAATTCTACACTTAGTAATAAATGTGAAGAAAATGAAAGACCAATAGAACGTCAAGAATGTTTTAATAAAGAGTGTCGTGGTATTTGGAGAGTTGAACCATGGTCAGAGGTAAAATTTTACAATTTTTAATTCTTACTTGAAGCAATATATTGTTAAATAACAAAAAAAAAAAATAAAAATTTTAATTAATTTCTTAATTTATTTATTTTTCTATTTATTTGTTTGATAGTGCAATGCAGCTTGTGGTAAGCAAGGCATAAAATATAGAATATTAAGATGCGTGTGGCATGGTACAAGACGGCCAGCTGGGAATGCTTGTCGCGATCATCCCAGACCGACCGTAATGAAAACATGTAAAGGACCTCCTTGTTTAAGTAACCGTAAGTTTAATAAATCTTATTCAAATGCTTCATATTATTATGTATACTTATTAGATATTGGATAATTAATAGTATTGCTTGTTTCAGTATCAATGGTCGTATTAATGTCATCCATATAATTGGATTTGCAAAATTTAATTATATATCCCAACTATATATGTATATATTGTAAATAATTGAAAAATTACATAATTTCAAAAATGATTAATTAATTAATACTATTATGAAAGTTATAATTTATTTTTTCTACACTACAATAATTATTTCCAGAATAATATAATTATATTTTATAATTAAATCGCATCGTATTATCTTTGCTTATATAATAAATTTTTGTTTTGTTTCTGCATATTTGGTCTTTGAAAATCGTTTATCAATATTTCATAATATTAATCCGAAAAATACAATCCTCAGATAATTTCATTAACTCACTATAGTTTGAACATTTTTTTTAAATTCATCAATAATGGTTTTATTACCATTATATGAACTTGGTAGTAAAATAAATAAGAAAAATATAAATGTAACACCCGTTTTCTCAGGGTTATTATAGAAAAATTTTTTATAAATATATTAAACAAAATTATTAAAAAAGAATTTTTTTTAAAATGGACGAAAATGACTGAATATTTTACGGTATACGCAATTGGAAAATTGTAATATTTAGCTACAATTATATTAATCAAAATTAAATTTAAAAATCAACTTATTTAATGAAAAATTCTAACTCATTTAATGAAAAACACGTTACAAAGACTGTGAACTTCTTACATCAAAGAATCAACGAATAGACTGTTATGTTGTTACACACATTTAAATGTGTTTTATTTTGACACTTCCGCAAGAAAACGACTTATTTTTATTTTCTGATTTTTTAGTAACACTAAATTGAACTGCTTTCGGATGAAATTCTACTATCATCCGGGTTTTTTTCATTTTCACGAGTGTTTTCTTATACAATATAAGGTATTCGCCAAGTTTGAGAGCGGTACCCAAAAAGTATTTTCTATTTACACTCTTGCATCTCATCTTCACCAAAACAAATTTTTAAAAGAATTTAGAATTTTATTCCAAATATACGAAATTTACGACTTTCAGAATACGTATATCCTCAGAGACTTGATCTTTACTATCAACCGATTTTACATAATTATTAAGAGAATAATGGATAATTGTCCCCGAAATTTTATATATAGGGTCTGTCTAACGATATGAAAAGACTATTGCAACATAATCTTTTCGTGAAAACCAGAAAGCAGTAACTGACCTTTTACAAGAATCTAATTTTACGTTTATCTTAGATTCGAAAATAGAAACAACATCGAAAAAATCATTGCATGTTTTTGAGGTCGATAGTAAAATCGATAATGTTGGTTATAAAGTCATCTAAACTATAAAAAAAAATGTTGATATGTACAACTATCGATAGTTTCCCATCCTGTCACAACAGCATGATCGTGACAAATTTTTATTTATACTAATAATAATGTAATTGAGTTTAAAACATAAAATATCTTGGACAAGCATAAACTTATTAAAATGTTTCTTATTTTATAAAACTAAATAGAAAAAAGAAGTACAATTTATTTCCGTTAATAGATTGTACCTACTAGGTACAAACTATACACAATTAAGTTCTATTTTTTCATATATATATATATTTATTTTACAGTAATTGAATGCGCCGACACATCAAAATATTGTAAAAATGTACGCATTATGGGCCTATGCCGACTATATCGGTACCGACAGAAATGCTGCAAATCCTGTAGGAATTTCATTTCCGATTAGATTTTTATGTAATGTATAATTAAATTTAAATTAAAATAAATATAATAGATAATTAGATAAATACCTATATAAATAATTAAATGATATACATACATATATATACATAAATTTATATATACATCATAACTTATACAAATATAAATAAACAATATTTTTTTTTTTTTTGAAAGCAAAAAAAAATTTTTTTGACTATATTTATAATTTTATAAAACAATATTATTGTTTTATAGTATTAAAAATATCAAAAATAAAATAACAAATAATATTTACACAATACATAAATGTTATATAAGAAAAATAGTCATATAGAAAATTTAAAAATATATTTGTACCCGGAAAAAACAATTTCACAAAAAATATATAAATTTACATATTATAAAGTTAATATAAATATATATAATTAAGTAACACATACATATATCTTTATGTACATATACATAGAACTATATGTACGAGTACATAATATTTGTATTTATAAAAAAAGAATGCCAGTGTTTCGTCTCATATTAGTGACTTTTTTATAATTATTATTTTGACTCTTTTTTTTTGTTTTTATATAAGATATTAATAGAAAATTAATTATAATACATAATAATGTAGAAATATATGTACATATATATAGATGTATATACATAAAAGGACAGTATAAACATATAAACATATGTACGTATAAACGTATATAGTTTACGAATGCATAATGGATAAAAATATAGAAAAGCTATTGATATTATAAAAATAATAAAATTAAAATTAAAAGGCAAAAAAAAAACAATAAAAGAAAAAAAAATTATGAAAACCCTTAGATTAATAATAACAAAAAAAAAATTGAAAGAAACATTTTGCAATTATAGTTTGTTATATAAGATTATTAAATATATAATAATATTTAATTTTATTACATGCTTATGTGTATGTAATAGTAGTATATTGTATATATATATATCATATAATATTTAATTATATACAAAAGTATTTGTATAAAAATACACAAAAACTCAACTCAAAATAATTATGCAGATTTCGAATTATATAATTACTAATAAACGTATATGTATATATGTAAACATATAGCTGTTTTGTACCAAAAAGCCTAATCGTTCCTAAAATAAATGATTATTGAAAACAGTAAGAGCAGTAGCGAGCGCGCATTGGTATTTAAATATAATTTTTTTTTGCTCTTTTCAGAAGAAATAAATTTTTTCTCGAACTACTTCATTCGGAAATACACGTTCAAAAAAGTAAATACTTAGTGTGGGAAAAGAGCCCTTATATAGAATAATTATTTAGAATATTTTATCAAAATAATGTCAATTAATATCTCTTCATAAAATAACAATATTCTTATTAAAAATGAATATTTTACTGAGTAAAAGTTATTCACTCTTATCATACGTGATTATGTGAAGGAAATCAATTCGGCAGCAATTTTCGAATTTTGTTCCAGGATATTTGGCTTGAAGGTTTAGGCTATGTTTATATACATATTTATATGTATTTTTATTTATACCATACAATGTATCAGAAATTAGCTAACAAATCAATTATACAACTATAAAAAAAAACTAAATAGAAAAAGCAAAAAAAGAACATAACAAAATTAATGAATTTATATAAATCAATTATAAAAAAATATTTCAAAAAATACTAGAAAAAATTTATATTTTAAAACAAAAAATTTTTAGACAAAAAAAAAAGGATTAAACTATAAACGAAATTTCTATAATTAAAAAATCAGAATACCATTAAAAAAATATTGACGAAAAACAAAATTCAAAATTTAACACAAAATTATGTTATATAAATTCTAGATAAATTATAATAAAAATAGTTAAAAAAATACAAATATAATTATATTATAATATGAAAGAAAAATTTAATAAATTTGGTTATATTTTATTCCAAAAACAAAAAAATCATTAACAAAATTATATTTAATAGAAAAAATAAAATAAAAACTTTTTTATACAAAAATAAATAAATTAATAAACATAATAAAAAAATAACAAAATAATAAATATTAAGCAAATATTATGAAAAAAAAAAAAGAAAAACAAACAAAATACGATATTAAAATAGAGTCTTGCTATATTAAAATTAAAATTCAAACATTTACATTAGAAGTATTTGAAAAATTTTAATATTTTAGTAATAATTAACCTATATTATTTGCTTTATCATTTCATATTTGAATTTAATTTGTCAAATTTTTGAATGATTTTTATATAGCATATTATATAAAAAGTATATTGCTTTTATACTTATACAGGAATTATAATGCAATTGATAATTAAATTATATGAATACAATTTTTAACAAATTCACACAAAAGTAAAAAAAAAATTGAATTTGTAGTTCGTTTTATGTACTTTAGAACTTAATTCATCCTGGTTATCTATACAAAAAATCGATTTGTAAATATGTAAGATTTTTGTTCGGTGACATAAATGACAAAACTAAGTATTAAAATTGAATGAAACCAATGGTTTTAAAAACATAGCATGTTTTTCTTAAATAAATTTTTCAAAATCAGTTTTTGAAAATTACATTCAGTCCATATTACTTTTTTGCTTATAGCATACCTGTAAGAAGGTGGCATTAGCTTAAATATACAAAATATATATTCTTTATTACTTTTAAGAGCTATTACTTTTCTATTACATTTGAAAAGGGGCAGATATTTTGAAAATTTCATTTGGAAAAGTAGATATCGAAAAAAAAACATTTGTGTAATAAATGTCAGTTTTCTGTTTTTAAACGATATAAAAATTTTATTCACAGATTCACAGATAGAAAAATAAATGAATGAAACCGTTGCGAATGAATGGAACCAACAAAGACTGTTTTTCCAATTCCGCACGAAATGTGCTTAAATTATTTTCATAAACTAGAATTTTATATATTTCATTTAGAAATTTATATTATTATTGGAGCAAAATTTATTGCATGAATCTGTCCTTATATCCTTTAATTTATAAAAAGAAAGAACTTGTATTAATGAAAAAGTAATGGTATGTTGCCGAACTCCAAAAACATATTTAGAAAACCATTTTAATTTTTCGCACAACTCAAAGAAATGAACACACAAATAGAATTGTTTTGTGGTAAGCCAAAATTTGGTTGATTTACTTACGATTTTTTTATATCATATTAATATATGCCTAATGCACACAGTTTTATTGATATTTATTCTACTCCTTAAAAAATTGAGTAATTTAAAGTTTTGTTCTACAATTCACAATTATTATTAAAAGAACAATTTCATAATTTGTAGAAAAAGAAAAAGAATTGCTCAAATATTTTAAAATTTTAAAAGTAAGTACCTTTCACAAATTTGGAATTTTAATCTTTATAAAAACCTTTTGTTAAATTTATATTACTTAACAAAAGAAACAGCAAAAATTACCAAAAAAAATTAAAACAAATCTGTTAATAAATTTACTAAATTTGTTATTTTTCTTTGTCAGCATTTTACAAAACAGCAAAAATGTTTTTTATTTAATATTTCTTTCTCTTTCTGAAATGAATAGCTATTTTTTAATTCTATACATACGATAGTAAAAAAAAATATACGACAACAGCCAAAAAACACGCCTTTTTAAATAAAAAAAAGTTAAAAAAAAAAAAACAAAGCTCATAACCTATTTTCTATATATAACTAAAAATGCAAAAACAAAAACTCAAAATTTAAAAATAGGAAACATAAAAATTATCTCTACCTATACAAATATACCTATATAAATATATATCTGACACATGCATATTAAATATTCATCCAAAAACCAAAAATCAATTAGAACAAAACTCATTACATGTAAAATAAAGTCACAAAAACAAAAAACAACCCAACTAAGGTAAACTGCACATAATTAATCGAGAAAAAAATTTAGATAAAACAAAGTTAAAAATACCAAAAAAAAATAAAAAAAAAAAATAATAAAAAATATGCTTTCAATGTGTGATGTCTGTAAATTAAAGAACAAAAAAAAAATAAAAAGTTAAAAAGAAAAACTAAATCCCGTTATAATAAATTTATATATAGACTATAAACAAATATAAAATGAAATTAGATTTATTATTGCCCACTAAAAAACCAAGATAAATTTATTTGTCTTAGCTAGTATACCGTAATCATAAAAGATTTTATGTTGAAAACAATGTACGTAACAGTCAAACATACTTAAAAGCTCGATATGAGAACAAAATTTACGTTTGTTTGATTGAAAAATCCAAAAACATGCAATTCACATCAAACAGAGCCTATCAATAATTTTTAATGCTCAATCGGTGCCGGAGATCAGTTAGAAATTAACCGAACATAAAATATTAGTATCGTTCTTCTAATTTTTTACAAAAACAAAAATACTATTAAACAGATTTTGTCATATACAATTTTGATCATCTAACTACGTTTTAATTATTTAAAATTTAATATTTTCCAATTTAACATTATTTATGTTTTACTTTGTTTTCTTATCTCTATAACAATAACAAGTGCTCATACAATATGAACATTTTATCTCAAAATTGACTATTTAGGGCTCAGGCAATTATGCATTTTTTAATTTTACTATTACTGCTTTTTAAAAAGTCGTTGGCCGCACATCTAAGCAACTAAACTATTGCGTCAAATAAAAGCATTAAATAAAAATTGTAATCAGTTTGTAAAAAATTACAAACTGTTTCATTGCTGGTAATTGTATGCAATCATACAGTTGCATATGTGCACACTTGAAGCAAATTAAACAGTTTCAAAAGTAAAAATTCTATGTCTGCCAGAGCCTTCGCAATTCGACTGTTCCCCCCGTCCTACGTCTCCCTCACTCGAATATTCTTAAAATATTTTCATTATTAAGCTTTTTTTTAAAGCATAAAAAATTCAATGGGAACTTATTCCAATAAAAATATTGTTTTAGAAAAATTTAATAAGTAAAAAATTTAAAAATTAGAAACTTTATAGCTAATTACAGTAATTAAAAATTGGTTCAAATAAAACACTAATATGTGTGAATATTTTTAATTTTCATATAAAAATAGCTTGCAATGTTTTTGATCAAATGATACGAGTACAAACAAACAATTTTTATGTTTTTGTGAGTATTGAGGTTGGCAATCTATTGATAAATATTATTAAAAAATTGTCAAAATGATTATTTCAGTTACAAATTTTTAGTAGCATAACAAAAAAAAATATCACTTCAAATTAAAGTAAGAACGTTATTAAAAAGGAGAGATTCCTTGAAATTCTATTAAAATTTTATTTTCATAATATTATAAAATAATGACTATGAAAATTTATCAATGATTTTCATTAGTAAAAATTGTTTGCTGTGTTAGACAATATTATTTTAATTTCAAAACTTTAAAATTTGTACATAATCTAAAAAAAAACTGGAAAAATAAAGCAATCATATTGCAAACCCACAAATATGCAAATTGATGCTTTATTGAGAAATTGTATTATTTAATAGTTTTTGTTATTACAGTATACATTATGTAGCGATAAACTATTAATTACGAAGAATTCCCAGAAATTAAAAAACTAGAGCTGTAAAATAAAATTTTTCAATCTGGAGCCAAAAATCTTTAAATCGAAAAAGTTAACGCTCTTTTGTAATATTTTGTAGAAACTCAATCTGGGAGTAAAGAAAAAAACAAATTTTTAATAAATTTTTCTCACTATTTTCCATATAAACTATGTGCTATTACTAGTGCATCTGATAAAATCTTTGAAATATAATTTCCTATAATTTGCACCCTCAAAATTGTAGAAAACGACATGAGCAATTGTGTAGACAAGCAAATTATTAACAGCTTATTGAAAATGTAAAATTTATTAATTATTTGTCAACCTCATTTTGCAACAATTTATTGTAAATTAGAAAATCGAAAAAATAAAATAAATTATTAATTTTTTTAATTTGTTTTTTGTTCATCGTGAAACCCCAATTTTATATTAAAAAATTTCATTACATGAATACGTATACATATACAAAAAAAATATAAAAAAAATTAACCCTCTAACACCCCCTGATATTAAAATTCAAACATAAATTTAAAAACAAAATAACTAATTTAAGATTTGTTATTATATTGTATATAAAATAAAAAAAGCAAAAATTATAGTTATTATTCAAATTTAAATATTAAAATAAAAAAAAAATTAAAAAAAGAAACAAAATACGAAAAAAAAATTTATAAAGTAATATTTATAGAAGAGTACGAGTATGATTAATATTTGGAACAAAAAAAAATACACATACACAAAATTTGGTTAATTATATTATATCGTAAAAAAGACTCTACGAATCAACCTCATATGAAACAAAATCATTATTTATAGATTTCTTCATTCATGTCTTCTTTTTTTTTTAATGAAATTTAAAATTTTTCAAATTCAATGGTGGTAAATTTAAATCAAGTTGGAACTCGAAATTAACAAACGTTTTATCACGATATTAGTTCTAATCAGATTACTATTTCCTTTTCTCTAGCAACAAAATCTCCTTTATTAAATAATTTTTAGGATTACTTCCTACACATCACTCCGGTTTAGACCAATTTCAGTTTAGATTTTCATAATAAAACATATTCTAAATTTATTTATACAAATTTAGTATTAATTAAGTTTAATTTTGAATTCAATTCAACTGAATTAATATTGGTTGACAAAGGTAAACTGATACTGACCTCAATTAAACTGAACTAAATATTCGTCCCTAATTCGAATTTAATTCAAAGCTTCAGCAAAATAAAAATTTCACTCTAGCTTT